CAAATGGATAAGAGTAACATTGAGCTGAGATACATGGCAATTCAGTGTATTGCTCTTGTAAGTCTGAATTATTACATTTAACAAAGCTAGTTCAAAGTGTCTTATTTAATTTCCTTCTTTATATCTACTTCCATTTTAGACACAAAGCATCTTTTTCAACATCAATCTGATCAGTTATCATACTTTTTCAAAAATGTTTCATGACCATTAAGGCAATAGAATGAAATTCAAACTTCTGCTTGCCTCCATTTTACCTTTCTAGTTTTATCTTTCAGATTCTTCTCTAAGCTTGCTCACATCTCCAAGGCTATTAATACTACTGTCTGAAATGTCTGACCCTGAGATCCTTCTTACACTTAAACTCACATGCCTTTTCTACTTATCCTTTCCTAATCCTCAATTATGCTCTTTTTCTGCTCACTCCTTGGGCTTGAACTCAGGACCTGGGTGCTGTCCCTGAGCCTCTCGGCGCCCAACGCTAGCAATCTACCACTTGAGCCACAGTGCCACTTCCTGCTTTTTCTGTTTATGTGGTACTGAGGAATCAAACCCTGGGCTTCATATATGCAAGGCAAGCACTCTACCACTAAGCCACATTCCCAGTCCCTACACACATGATATTAACAACTGCCCCTTGTACTATTTTTAAAACTATCTGTCACACTGTATTTTCATTGTTGGCCCACTGTCTAGCATACAGTAAGCTTCAAGTCCTATTATAGTATTATTTTCTAACCGTTCCACTTGCTTGGGCACTGTCCTTGAGCTTTTTCTCTCAAGGCTAGTGTTCTACAACTTCGAACCACAGTTCCACTTCCAGATTTCTGGTGGTTAATAGTCTCACAGACGTTCCTGCCTGGACTGGCTTCAAACCAGGATCCTTAGATCTCAGGCTCCTGAGTAGCTTGGATTACAAGTGTGAGTCACCAGCGCCTACCTACCTTTCCACTTTTTCAAGTCATGGTAAGTACATTTAGATTACTTATACTGTATTTGAAGATTAAATGGTGATAGTGATTGGCAGGGAACAGATGCAACTGGTTAAAAACTATAGTTATCAAAGACCTTTTTTGGCCTGGGCGCTGTCCCTCAGCTCTTCAGCTCAAGGCTAGTGCTCCACCACTTGAGCCACAGCGCCACTTCCTGTTTCCTGGTGGCTTATTGGAGATAAGAGTCTCACAGAGTTTACTGCCCCATGTGGCTTTGAACCACGATCCTCAGATCTCAGCCTCATGAGTTACTAGGATTACAGGCGTGAGCCACCACCGGCGCCCGGCTTGAATCGTTCCATTCTTTGTACATTTTATATTTCATTTTTTTAGTGTTAATAGTTTTCAAAGTGATGTATATAAATAGCAAACACTGGCTGATGGTGTGTGTGTGAAAGAGGGAGGGAGGGAGGGAAAAAGAGGAGAGAGAGGGGATGGAAGTGAGAAGGGAGGGAGAGGGGGAGGAGGAGGAAGAGAGAGGAGGAGAGAGAGGGGAGGGAGAGGGAGGGGTGAGAGAGGGAGGGAGGGAGAGGGAGAGGGAATCCCAAATCCTGTGGGGTTAAGACTAAGGTATACACAAAGAGAAGGAAAACAACATTAAGGGCCGGGAGAGGGAGTGCAGTGGAGACAAGGAACACAAAACTCTTCTTCGGCCCGGTAGGGGTCAGGAAACTGTGGGCAGTGCTTTAGGAGCCGCTTTTCCCAGACCAGACCCAGCACCCAGGGAGACTCCGGGCTGCACGCGGCCCTGCTCGACCAGGCTGACCGACTCCTGCAGACCCGGAGCCCGGGCACACAGGTCGGGCGGGCCTCGGAGCCGGGGGGGACCCCA